TTACACAATTGATGTGTGTATGGATTGGGATAACAGTTGTATGAGCCCCTAATAAAATGTTTAAAAAAAAAAAGTTTTCTAAAAAGCAAAACAAAATCAGCAACACCCCCTCCCCCCGCAAAACAAACAAACAAAACCAAAGGGATCCCTTGCTCCCAAGATCACCTTGGCGCTAAACACTGCATTGGTTCACAACGTAGTCAACATTCCCCCTCCCGGAGGCCGGGGAGGGTGGGGGGGAACCGAGCTGATGCCACGGGCTCAAGTAGAAAGAAAATGTTTGAAAAGGATGATGGCCAACTAGGTACAAATGTGCTTGACATGGCGGATGGGTGGATGGATTGTGATAACAGCCCCCTATAAAAATGATTAAAAAAAGGAAAGAACACTCCCTCTACGTGTTGTGCTCCTTTGAGCACGCTCGTCCATGAGACCAGCGTGTCCAGAATGACGCCCAAAGAAAGATGGGAAAGATGGGAAGGCAGGAAAGTAGACAGAAACGGGGCCACGAGAGGAGAGACACCGAGAATGTTCATTGCGAAACATGTCACCAACGCCACCCAACGTGGCCCGTGCTTGGGCACGGTCCTCCGTTAAGATCTATCTACGTGGCCGTGCCAGCGCCATTGGAAAACGCTACCCAGGCCCCTGGATTGTCCTTGTCAAATCCAGGAGCCGTGTGTATTCTCATCGTCGACAAGAAAACAAATGAGGAATGACAAGGACAACGCAGATGGCCTCCCATGGAACGATGCTTGACTAACGGGTGACGCGCCCTGGCATGCTCGGCCACACGGAACATGCTCTAGAGGGGTTTGGGAACCCTGCAACAACATGTACCGCACATGGTCTTGAAGGGAAGAAGCAAAACACGGCAGGGCACGTGCAGCGCATCTTCATCCAGGTAAAGTTCTCGGCCAAACTCAACGGTGTGACAGTGACGCAGTCACGGCTGGGAAAGCTATCAGGGGGCATCGGGAAGCCATGATCCCGGAGTCCACATGGGATTGGTCTTTGGGACAAGGGAGGCTATGACGAGGAAGGGCACCTAGGGAGAGAGCTGCCGGGATGGACAAATAGCCAATAGCATCCAATTTAAATCAGATGCGAACTGCAGTCTTCACGAAATTAGCCTCATGTTTCTGCCCAGGCATGTCCATAACTCATCACAGAAGCATTAAGATGGCCGCCCTCTAACCTAGGCTAGGGGAGAGGTCTCCGCCAGCTCGGGGAAAGGTTTACCTGAATCCCTAACACCCGCCGATAGAACAGCCCGGGAGGGTAGTAGAAGTTGATTCTGGTCCCATAGGAATCCTCACCCTCATTCCGCACCCTCACAGTCACGTTGAGCTCCAGGGAGCTCCCCACCACCAGCGTCTGCAGGCTGGAAGGAAGCAACAGGGCTGCAGGGCTGCAAACAGGGTGGAACTGATCAGGGGTCTGTGCGGGACTTGGGAGCCACGGGCAGAAAGCATTTCCATCGGAGCCCTTTCTTTGTCAGGGCAGCTGAACGGGAGCAGGCGCGGGAGGTTGGGGCTAGGAGAGGCGGTCCCGCCTACCCTGCGAAGCGGAGATCCACACGCAGGTCTCCTTCACACAGGCGATCTGGTCCACAGTTCTTCTCAAAGGGGAACTGCAGCAAAACAGTCTGTTTCCTTCCCATCCCGCCGCTTAATCTTTCTCCCATTCTCTCGTCAGGAGCACCCGTCCGCATGGGATATCATTTATGGAAGAGGATGACAACATTGGCTATCACTGAGCACTGGGCAGTCAATATTAAATTCTGGCCCGGAGTGAGGGGGTGTGGGAGATAACAGGAAGGCTGGACCACTTTCTTGGCTTCAAAGTGGATAACGTCTAGTCAAGCAATGAAGCCAAGTGCCATTCAGTGATTCAAGGAACACTGTTAAGTACCAAGTGTGGGCAGGCTGGGGGAAGTGGTGATGACAAATGAATGAGGCGACATGCCTCTTGCTCTCTAGAAAGCTGCAGTCCCCAAAGAGTCACAGATGCAGATGTCAGACGGCTCTGGTTCCAGGCCTTTGATCGCTGGCATCAAGTGTGCCCACCACGGCTGAAGGGGGAGCCCGAAAAGATGTGTCAGGGATTGAGTGCCGTTGTGAAAAGAGGGGGAGTTAAGATTGCAGACTCGGGGAAGAGGGAAGATCTTCGGGTGCGGAGAAGAAGGAAGAGCTTCCCCCAGCTTCCCCAGGAGCTTCCCCAGACACCAAGGTCCGCAAGGAAAGTTGAGAAGGTTCTGCAGAATGCGAACCAGTGGGTTTGTAAGGGCGAGGCATCAGGTCCAGGCTAGCGGGACTCTGGAACCCGGATGGAAGTGTGTTGGACCTGATGTGGTCCCTGGGCAGTTGGGCCTAGCTCGT